TCACTTAAATAAGTAAATAAGGTGTGTAACTAAGGTGTACCCATATATATTTCATGTGTTTTAATCACTCCTTTTGAACCTCCTGCCCCAAATTGCTTTGTTTTCCCCATAATAAACCGTGCATTTCGTAAATTCTAATTGGGGATTGGCTGCTGTTATTGGAAATATTAGTAAGCACTGAGCAAGTTATTCACTCGAAAAAGTTAGGGCCAAAGCCCCTGCCTCCTCTGTGTGAGGCGATACCCACGTGTGGATCTCTCAGCAAATCCTGATAAACGTAATACACTCCAAAAAGGAGATATAATAGGTCGCGGATCGTGACATATTAATTTTCTGGTGTCAGGGTCCCCTCTGCATGAGGTGGGCTTCACATGTCAGCTCAGCATTGAAGGAAGCCACAAGACCAGGAAAAGTTTATAGCCCAATAATAACCCTCAAGTTAGTTGCCACCTGCAATATTAGGCTCTCAAATCTTAACACCAAACCTGTCATCAACTTACTCCTCTCACAATTAGTATCTTGACTCTGCTAGTGAAAAATACAGCCCGGGTTGTGGAGAACCCAGACGACCAGCTCTTGCTCCACACCAAACCTGAGCTTGTTTCCTAACTTGTAAATTGTAAATGAAGAGTAAGAGTCCTTTCCTTCTGCAGGGCAGTCATGAGTGCATCACAAAACATGTTGTGTGGTAGCCAGTAAGGGAGCCCATCTGTGTACCTCTGAAAGAAACCTCAATTAGCCTGAGTGTGACACAAAGTGTGTGATTCTATTTCCTGTTCAGGCAAGGTTAGCACTGTTGGAACTGTTTTGTGATGGTTTCTGTTTCTGTTGCAGTCAGTGTAGCAGGCAAAATATTTGTAATTTGAATGCAAGTATGACCCTAGTTTTCTCCTAAACTGTCTTTTAAGCCCTGTTTTCTATCTGGGAATCAATCTTTTGAGTTATAAATGCCAGCAACTGAAGAGAAAATAGAAACAGGGTTTCATTAACAGTTGGAGTCAGATATTCCCCATACACAAATCTATTTCTAGATCTCTTGAAAATTAGCAATTTTCTGAAATAGAGATCAAATTTTGCTCGGAATGATGAAGTGCTTCCAACAGAGAAGGTTTTATGTAGCAAAAAATACCTACACAGCTACACACAACTGAAAGAGAAAACTCAGTCTTCTGATGCTGAACATATCCTAACACATAATGTCTGAGTATTTTGTGACTGATTCTTTAGAGAGATCCTTCTTGTTGAGAAAATGAGCTTTTTGAGCAATTTTCCATTATGGCTGATTTCCAATATTAATTTTCTAATTACAAAATCAGGAAGGCAGTGTTTATAGTGTGATATGTGTCTTGATTCCTGAAACTGGTTCTGCTTTTGAAATCAAAGTTTTGCTATCTTGAAGAACATAATCTATAGTACAAAATTTTTCCAAGCAATATGTTGTTCATATATGGGGTTCTCCTGGAAGAAAGCAGGAACAGCACATACTTGGGTTCTGAAAAAACCAAGGGAGGTCTTATCTGTGGTCCAGATCTGCTGTGATATCAGCCCCACATAACAACTTTTGTCTGTGACCTACTGCCTAAGCAGTAGGAGGACACCCCATTAGAGCTGCAGACCAGCTTTGCTTTGATGTCTCTGTAAAGTCAGGTTTTTTTGTCTTTGGCACTGGATTGTGTGTGATCAAGGTTGGCCCTGGACTGTGGCCAAAGCACATGGAAATGGACTTCAATAGCTGCTGTCAAGTCTCAGTCAACAGACCTTTGGTACCTTTATTGCAACATTTAAAAACTAGGATACTGGACAAAGCAAGACCAACATTCTGAGGTGTAATTGGAGCTGTGAATGGGCAAACCGAGCTACTGTAACCAACTCTTGTTTTGAAACAAGTTCAAAACTTCCCATGAGAAAACATTTACTTCAGACTTCAGTGCCTTTTGACTTATCACATTACCACAGAGGTAATGTAATTATGTAGAGCTAGGGGTAATTTTTCTGTGGAAGGTTTCTGAAGAAGAGGCTGATAGATAACCCAGGTTGAGGATTAAATTAGATGAAAGTGTAATAATTTATAAGTACTAAATATTTAAGACCAAAATACGCAGAGAAGTTAAAAGGCAAGAAATTTGTAATAAATTTCTGTGATCATGAAAATACAACCTACATAAATACAGGAAACCCCCAGGGATCTCCATCATTTCCCCCTCTATTAAATACTGGTGAATGAATGGGGAGGCTACAAGCATCCCTGCAGTGATATTTACACTCATAAATTTGCACTAGTGTCTGAAGTTTCCCCCACCAATCCTTGGTTATGTACGATGAGTCTCCTCCAGCTACATATCAAATCTCAGGTTTTGGACCAAATAGTGTAGTCATTAAAGTGCTGTTAGTAAATACAAATTATGAGTGATAATAGCTAACATCTACTCTTACATTTTCTATTTCTAATAATTCCTTACATGCTCTGCTAATTCTCATTTGAAAAGGCTCATGTTAGTATCAATTTCTCTTTCAATGCTTTTTGTCAGTTCAATAAAAGCCTGTGTTATTCCTACTCTTAGCTCAGGTTCTTGGGCCAAAACTACACCAGTCTTCCTACACTGCAGGGTGGCAGCTACAAAAGGGCACAATGAAATAAGCCAATGGCTTTTGTCTTCTTCTTTTTTAAGGGATGACTCATGCATCCCTCTGACAAGACAGAGTAGATTCATTGTATTATTGTATTCATGTGAAGCCGGGAACGCCAGAGACAAAGGCAGCTGCAGCACAGTGACACCCTTAGGGAAAAAAATATGTTATACAGGGGTTAAGATGTATGAAATTCTTACAACAGATAACTTATAAACACAAAGCAGATTGTGTAAAGATTATTTTAATCACTTACAGACATCCGGGCTCTTCTTGGTCCATATTTCATAGAATGATAAAGTGGTTGAATTTGTTGAGCTTAAAATCAGTCTAATAAAACTGAATGTGAAAGCCTTAAGAAGATATTTTATATCTTCACCGCCACCTTCTCCCTTTTTTACTTTCTGGTGGGGCTTTTTTGGTTTGTTATTTGGTTGGGGGTCAGGGTGAGGGGACTGTTTTTTGGGCGTTTGGTTTTGGGGTTTTTTTTTAAGAGAAATAGACCAGTACAAATTTCCTCTTATCTAACAAAAATGTGTTTGCAAAGTCTGAACTAACACTTTGCCATTCTTTAGGCACTGGCAAGCACAGGCTGGAGCCCTCATCACTTGCTCTGACCTCTGACTTTGCTGTGTTCTCTCGTCACGGTAAAGAACAAAACCTCCTGCTTGGCCTTGGTGTGGTCGTGTCCCAAGTGTGCCAGGCTCTGTAGGAAGGTACAGCAGAGTCTGGTTTGGCCCTTGGGAGGTTTCCAGGGAGGGAGGTTGAAGTCTGTTGCCCTCTATGTGTACCCTTTAGTGAAATTTGGAATCTTGAGGGTACCAGCTGAATAGTAAGCATTTCAGCAAACATCTGCAGAATGGATTTTGGTATGTGTACTGAAAGCTTGACCCTGCAGAGATGAAGGCAAGCATTTAACCACCTTGATCATTTCCAGAGATTTGGGGAAACTGTTCATAGCAGAAAAGTTATACAGTTATTTCAACATTTGCAATGTTTTGTTGCTAATTCTAATATTTAGTTTTGATGACCTGTCTTGGCTGCCAGTTAAGTGTCAATACTTTGTTCAACGTGTGATACAGCAATATATGTGTAATGTTGGCTTCATCTAGTGTAGCAAAATTCCCTAAATATGTTTTCCTGTCTATAATTGTTTCATAATGCCTAGTAATGGGGTATAAGGGGAGGAACAGGTCAGGTGTATTTACGGTTATTACCCATCCATTTAGTAACACTGCTCCTGTTGCCTCAAGTTATCATGTGTGGGGCATGCCCCAGATGGTGAGATGATTTCTGACAGTTAAGTGATGGGGGACAGAGAAAGGAAAAGGACATGGCATATACTGCACTTTGTCTTCTCTCTTGCTACAATTGTGGTTCAGAGAAATTAACACAGACAGCTCAGAAGACTAAGCTGTGTTGCCTTGTGGATTAGGCTGCAGATACAAAGCAAATGTTTATGCTTCTGAAGGAGGACTTTGCCATTTATCCCTTTGGTACAGCTGTAAAGTGCATAAAAGATAAGGAACAGTGTAACTGGGTTGTTGCTGAGAAGCAATCACCATGGAACAATGAGATTACTGACTTCTGTGTCTTATATTGAATAACCTTCCACACAGAAAGAAATGCATAGTACTTCCTGCCATATTTTCCTTGGGTTTGTAAATTGATAAAAATATCCTTCCTCCTGGTCTTTCTTTAGGTTTGAAGGCTAGGTCAGGGAGTGAAGAGGAACAGATGGTAACACTGAAGAGAGCTGTAAGTCTTGGAGCCAAGCTGTATTTTCAGTAGCCAGTTGCCTCAGGTTTGCCCAAATCTGGTGTATTTTATTTTATCTCAGCAAAGCTTAGAAAAGAAACTGGTATGACTTGATGGCTAAAAATCACTGAACTAAAAATGCTTCAAAGAGCTATGGATGGTTTGAATAGATGAGTACGAAAAGAGGTTGGAAGGCAAAAGCCAGGCTTGAGGACCAGACACAAAGCAATGGGATGCAGCTGTAGGGTAGAATAGAACAGGAGCAGATAGGGCTCAAGAGTTTTCACCAAAGTTGTTCTTATGCTTTCCCCCCCCGCAAAAATCCTTCAAATGTAGGTGCTCTGACTGATTAGGACCTTCATGTGTTAATGTGAGCAAAATCCACAGGTATCATGTAATGAGAAAAGTGCAAGTCTGATAATTAACTTTTGCCAATTTCCTAGACTTATAGCTGAATTTTTCTCCTGTTGTAGGGACAAAGCAAAGCAGGCTAAAAGTCTGAGAAACATGGGGTGCTCTCCTGGTGGGGTATTACCCACCTGTCTACAAGAGGAAATTAATGGGAATGTATCTAAGAACTTCAGTCCTGCAGAGCATTCAAGGGCAGATATGAAGAATCAAGGTGAAGATTGATGTGTTCAAATTCCCTCCTGCAAGAAACACATGGCAGAAAACCATTCCATGGATCTAGAACCCAGAGTGTTAGAGTAAGTAAAAGCTTTTACATTTTTGTTTTTCAAACAGAAAGAAAATTATTGATCAAGGGAAGTAGCAGAGCTTTCTGCAGTCTTAAGCAGTTACAATTACCGTGAAAAATTACAAATGTGTTTGAAAAAGTCAACCTTCAGTAGTTTGGACTTGTATTTTTAATTGAAATTGCATAGGAAAGCTAACATTTTTTTCTTTAACCCAAGTGTAATGTTATAATTTAGTGAACACTTGTTCCAGCAAACTGTGAATAGAAGATATAATTAGTTAACTGTGGGTGATATTCTTCGACAAACTTCTTCAGGTTTCATGTGCATGCAATCCCATATATTCTGTCGCAGTGATATGTGGTCAAGAACCAAGGCAATATTTTATGTTTCTTACTGAGGACAGTCAAATATTGGAATAGTCTCCCAAGACAAGTGGTAGCTTCCCTCACATTGGCCAGTTTTAAGACTCAGCTTGACGGGGTGCTGAGCCACCTCATATAAAATATAGTAGTACCTGGAAAGGTTGGAGCAGATGATCCTTGAGGTCCCTTTCAACCTGGCATTACTGATGTGAGAACAACAGCAGACTGCTGTTATCAGGAATGTAGCCTTACATCTCACGTTATTAATCAGTTGTTGTGGTACTTTGGTTTTGCAGCAAAGTTTCTAGTTCTCTGATATCAGTATGTGCAATAGAAAGGAGAGGTAATCTACGGCATATTTTGTACAGAGGACACGGGCACTTTAACTGCCTCAAATTGAAGGTGCCTGTTACCAAACCTGAAGATATTGAACTTTTACTGGAACTTAGAGGCCGGATTATGACCCCTCAGCCCCTTCCCAATGACAGTGTGTGATCATTCCACTGAGCTCATGGTATTGTTTTTGCTTTTGCCAGGAAGTTAGGAACAGCAGGGCTGTGAATAGCAATGTTCATTCTTACATTTCTTTATTAACATATAAATACAATCAGTTGTATTTACCATTGTCCTCCAGTCTGTTTGCTCTTCTCAACTACTGCTTTGACAGCTTCTGATTCTGCTTCTGGAGCCTGGTCTTTTGTCTTTCCTTCCTCTGGTCTCTCACTGTGAACCTTCTCAGAAAGAGGACACTTTATTCTCAAGTGTGTTTATTCTCAAGCTGTACTTTTCTGCAGGAGGCAAGTTGGAATATACCAGCAGAAATAATGAGTTATGTCAACTATTGTGGCTTGGTTGCTGTTTAACAGTCTGGGTGAAGTGCAACAAATAGACTATGAGACCAAGAATTGGCCTGTCTCTAGCTGGCCTCATCAGTAGAAACATAAGTGCAATACAGTGACTCCAACAAACAAATTAGCAGGACAGGATTGTGGGCTTTTTTGTCCTAAGCCATCTATTACTCCATTAAGTTATCACATAGACCAACTGAGAGGACTATTTTGGTTTTACTTCAACCCATATTTCTTTCCCCTTTTATAAGCTTTTTAACTTAAGGGCTTGAAGGAAACCTTGTTGGGAGATTCAGATAAAGAACACAGCAGTAGATGGAGGGAAGATGGTGTTAAACCAGCGCAATCTCAACAGAGGCCCCCAGATGAGTTCAGCTTAGGGTACATTATAAATAGCTGGTTTTAATTTACTTTTTTTAATATCTGACTTGTGTACAAGCAGCAGGGAAACAAGTCTGTATTTCAGGTGGAAACCATGAGAAACATGAACATTTGTGAGACTGGGACTGTTTGCTGAAAGATTTATCAGAGACCCTGCTATGAATTTGCTGCCTCAGCTTGCAGTGAGTTACATTCTGCTTACTTCAATCATTAGCTACAAGCAATAAATAAATAAAATTGGGATGGTGGGGGCAAAGAAACACCTAGATTCACTAGCCTGGTTCCAAAGGTAATGCTGGGTCTGCACACACAATTTATGATAATGGCGGTAGCCCAAATTATCCAGGAAATGGAAACTCACAATTCATACTATTCATTTGACAAAGATCAGGTAGCCATAAAAATATGGTATAATAAATCAGATGTAACATGGGCCAGGCTGACCTTTGGAGCCTCACCCTTCAACAGATGCAGAGTATAAATTGTTATGCTCTGCTTTATTGGCACCTCTTGGCAAGATGGGTGCCACCAAGATCTTGCTGGGGTTATTCTTCTTAAATGCAGCACTCCTGGATGCCACCTCAGGTAAAACACTTAAAATCTTTAAAGAATTTTATTTTTTTTGCAGAAAAGGTAGGGAAATGGGGATGTCTTACTCCTCTGCACTGGTTCCATACATGTAACTTGCATGCTACTACCATCAACTTTGTGCAGAGATTAGAAGTAAGGTAGGCTGAAATTAGATAGCATCGTGTTGTCTTATTAAAAATATGAGCCAATCAATATCATGATTATCTGTTGTTCATGTTGAAGTAAATTTAGTACAATGAAATAAGTATTGTTCCAACTCTTTTGCACTAGTGTGTTATAGAATAAAGTAAATAAAAAATAATATACTACCATGAAAATACTACTAAAAGGCTCTGTTTCTATAAATCTGTGGTTTTCAACATGGAATTAATAGTTTATTTGGCTGCAACGTATATTGGCTTTAAAAGACATCAAATTCAACTTTGCAGATTCATATGAAACCACCCAGTACTTGTTTAACTTCATATAATTTAATGAAAACAGGCTAGTAAGGTACAGTTGCTATCATTCCCTGCTGCAAAGTAATTTTGCTCACAGTGTGCCTCTGAGATTTTCATGCACAAGGAATAACAACCTGGAGACTGTAACAATCCAGTCTGCATATTTAAACGTGCAAATCACAACAGTGTTGGAATTCCCAGTAGACAACATTTAGCAAGGCTGAGGACTTCCTGAAAATGATCAATATTTTAGAAGTATGACTTCTGGGATTTACTGATCTCAAAAAAACACCTCTTGAGTATATCATGCCTAACAGCCTCTTGCTGTGCCTCGGCATGGTAACATCCCTGATTTAATTCAGGCATAAGCACTTGTAAAAGCAAAGCTAAAGAGAAAAAAAAAAGAGACTCCCAATTTCTCCATCACACCCATGACAGGGTGGCAACAACCTCCCCAACGCGAGGAGACAACCTGGTCACTCTCCTTCATCCATGATGAAGTTCTCACTTGCTCATTTCTCGTCTTCCTCCAACAGAGCCCGAAACAATCAACACTCCCAGATATGAAACCTCAACCAGTCCAGCAGGTAAGCATCTGACCAATCCTTCCTCCAGATGGGTCTGAGTTTGTCACTGCTTCTCTGGCCACTCCTTTTTGGGGGTGCCAGTGGTGGCTCACAGGTGGGCTTTGGGCTTGTCCATGGGAGAGCAGAGCCAGGGAAAGACACAGCCTCGTGAGCAGCCGCTGACAGCTCTGGTGGCATGAAACTCCAAGAGCCTTGCCAGTGGCTGGGCAAGGGAAGGTGCCTGTGTGTCAGAGGGTTTTCCCACTCTCTCCCTGTCTTCTCCTCTCCAAGGTGCCTCCCTGGCCCTGGTGAACGGCAGGAACCGGTGCGAGGGCCGTGTAGAGATTTACTCCTCTGGGGGCTGGGGCACAGTCTGTAATGACAGCTGGGACCTGAACGATGCCCAGGTGGTGTGCAGGCAGCTGGACTGTGGCTTTGCTGTTTCTGCAACATCCAATGCCTACTTTGGACAAGGCTCTGGCAACATCTACCTGGACGACGTGCGCTGCACTGGGAGCGAGTCCTCCCTCTTTCAGTGCCAGAGAGTTGTGGTCAATGGGTCCATGTCCAAATGGAGGCAGGTGATGAGCTGTGTCCTTCAGGGATCACTACTGGGACCAGTACAGCTGTTTAACATCTTTGTTGGAGACATGGACAGTGAGATTGAGTGTATCCTCAGCAAGCTTGCTGATGATACCAAGCTGTGGTGTCGTTGACACCCAAGAGGGAAGGGACTCCATCTAGAGGGACCTTGACAGGCTGGAGAGCTGGGCCAGAGCCAACCTCGTGACGTTCAACAAGGCCAAGTGCAGGGTCCTGCACCTGGGTCGGCACAAACCCAGGCACAATTCCAGGCTGGGGGAAGAATGGCTGGAGAGCAATCCTGAGGAGACAGACTTGGGTGTGGGAGTGGATGAGAAGCTTGACAGGAGCCGCCAGTGTGTGCTGGAGCCCAGAGAGCAACTGCATCCTGGGCTGCATCAAAAGAAGTGTGGCCAGCAGGGCCAGGGAGGGGATTCTGCCCCTCGGCTCTGCTTTCAGCAAGGGGCCCTTGTTGGCCACAATTAGGCATGTGTTGGAGATGCACCCAAACCATGTTGGTTTTGATGGCTCCCATGATGGAAAACCGCTCTGCTGAGACCCCCGAGCTCTCCATTGCCTACATGACAGGGAGGACCACCCTGCCCAGTGTGGAGAGAAAACCTGGCTATATTCCTTCCTCTACAAGGTCTTCATTTGCTCCTTTCTCTTCCCCTCAACAGCTACTCAAACCACGACCTATAGGCCTACTACATCATGGCCAACTACAGGTACAGATGTGTCTGTTCCTTTCATCTTTTCAGTGTGTTCATCTGAGGTTTCTGCCTTTGTTTGTTCAGCTGTCCTTGCTTCTCCTTCCCAAATACCTCGAGGTTTTCAGCAAGGGGCCCTTGTTGGCCACAATTAGGCATGTGTTGGAGATGCACCTAAACCTTGTTGGTTTTGATTGCTCCCACCACGGAAGACCACTCTGCTGACATCCCTTAGTTCTCCATCACACCCATGACAGGGTGGCTCCACCCTCCTTAGCATGGGGAGAGAAAAACTAGTTATATTCCTTCATCTACAAGGTCCTCACTTGCTCCTTTCTCTTCCCCCCCAACAGCTGCTCAAACCATGACCTATAGTACTACTCCACCATGGACAACTAGGACTTCAGGTATGTCTGTTCCTTTCTTCTTTCCAGTGTGTTCCTCTGAGGAGTGTCACTGACTACACAGGTTGTGGATGTGTCATTTTCCCATTGCAGCACTTGGGGGAAGAACTCCAGGTTGGCACTGATTGTTGAGGTCCTACCCTCTGCCCCTCTGCTGGTCTGAGCCTGCAGCTGGGGGTGCATTGCAGACTAAGGATTTTCTGGCCATGCTGAAGATTCTGGGCTCGTGTGCTCAGGTGCCGGTGCTTCTCCTTCCGAAATACCTCGAGGCTTTCAGCAAGGGGCCCTTGTTGGCCACAATTAGGCATGTATTGGAGATATGCCCAAACCCTGTTCGTTTTGATTGCTCCCACCACAGAACACTGCTCTGCTGACATCCCCAAGCTCACCTAACACGGTGGCAACAACCTCCCCAACGCGAGGAGACAACCTGGTCATGTTCCTTCACCCATGATGAAGTTCTCACTTGCTCATTTCTCGTCTTCCTCCAACAGAGACCAGCACCACAACCGGATATGAAACCACAACCAGATATGGAACCACAAATGGATATGAAACCACAATGGGATATGGAACCACAACCACATATGGAACTACAAATGGATATGAAACCACAACCGGATATGGAACCACAACCACATATGGAACTACAAATGGATATGAAACCACAACCGGATATGGAACCACAACCACATATGGAACTACAAATGGATATGAAACCACAACCGGATATGGAACCACAACCACATATGGAACTACAAATGGATATGAAACCACAACCGGATATGGAACCACAACCACATATGGAACTACAAATGGATATGAAACCACAACCGGATATGGAACCACAAATGGATATGAAACCACAACCAGATATGGAACCACAAATGGATATGAAACCACAACCAGATATGGAACCACAAATGGATATGAAACCACAACCAGATATGGAACCACAAATGGATATGAAACCACAACCAGATATGGAACCACAAATGGATATGAAACCACAACCAGATATGGAACCACAAATGGATATGAAACCACAACGGGATATGAAACCTCAACCAGTCCAGCCAGTAAGCATCCAACCAATCCTTCCTCCAGATGGGTCTGAGTTTGTCATTGCTTCTCTGGCCACTCCTTTTTGGGGGTGCCGGTGGTGGCTCACAGGTGGGCTTTGGGCTTGTCCATGGGAGAGCAGAGCCAGGGAAAGACACAGCCTCGTGAGCAGCCGCTGACAGCTCTGGTGGCATGAAACTCCAAGAGCCTTGCCAGTGCCTGGGCAAGGGAAGGTGCCTTTCTCCTTCCCAAATGACCAGGAGGCTTTCAGCAAGGGGCTCTTGTTGGCCACAATTAGGCATGTATTGGAGATATGCCCAAACCCTGTTGGTTTTGATTGCTCCCACCACAGAAGACCACTCTGCTGAGACCCTCAAGCTCTCTATTGCCCTCATGACAGGGAGGCATCTACCTCCTTAGTATGGGGAGAAAAGCTGGCCCCGCTTCTTCCTCTACAAGGTTTCCTCACTTGCTCCTTTCTCTTCCCCAAACAGCACCTCAAACCATGACCTATAGTCCTGCTACATCATGGCCACCTACAGATACAGATGTGTCTACTCCTTTCATCTTTCCAGTGTGTTCCTCTGAGGTTTCTGGCATTGTGTGTTCAGGTGTCCTTGCTTCTCCTTCCCAAATACCTCGAGGCTTTCAGCAAAGGACCCTTGTTGGCCACAATTAGGCATGTATTGGAGATGCACCCAAACCTCGTGGTTTTGATTGCTCCCACCACAGAACACTGCTCTGCTGACATCCCCAAGCTCACCTAACACGGTGGCAACAACCTCCCCAACGCGAGGAGACAACCTGGTCATGTTCCTTCACCCATGATGAAGTTCTCACTTGCTCATTTCTCGTCTTCCTCCAACAGAGACCAGCACCACAACCGGATATGAAACCACAACCGGATATGGAACCACAACGGGATATGAAACCACAACCAGATATGGAACCACAAATGGATATGAAACCACAACCAGATATGGAACCACAAATGGATATGAAACCACAACCAGATATGGAACCACAAATGGATATGAAACCACAACCAGATATGGAACCACAAATGGATATGAAACCACAACCAGATATGGAACCACAAATGGATATGAAACCACAACCAGATATGGAACCACAAATGGATATGAAACCACAACGGGATATGAAACCTCAACCAGTCCAGCCAGTAAGCATCCAACCAATCCTTCCTCCAGATGGGTCTGAGTTTGTCATTGCTTCTCTGGCCACTCCTTTTTGGGGGTGCCGGTGGTGGCTCACAGGTGGGCTTTGGGCTTGTCCATGGGAGAGCAGAGCCAGGGAAAGACACAGCCTCGTGAGCAGCCGCTGACAGCTCTGGTGGCATGAAACTCCAAGAGCCTTGCCAGTGCCTGGGCAAGGGAAGGTGCCTTTCTCCTTCCCAAATGACCAGGAGGCTTTCAGCAAGGGGCTCTTGTTGGCCACAATTAGGCATGTATTGGAGATATGCCCAAACCCTGTTGGTTTTGATTGCTCCCACCACAGAAGACCACTCTGCTGAGACCCTCAAGCTCTCTATTGCCCTCATGACAGGGAGGCATCTACCTCCTTAGTATGGGGAGAAAAGCTGGCCCCGCTTCTTCCTCTACAAGGTTTCCTCACTTGCTCCTTTCTCTTCCCCAAACAGCACCTCAAACCATGACCTATAGTCCTGCTACATCATGGCCACCTACAGATACAGATGTGTCTACTCCTTTCATCTTTCCAGTGTGTTCCTCTGAGGTTTCTGGCATTGTGTGTTCAGGTGTCCTTGCTTCTCCTTCCCAAATACCTCGAGGCTTTCAGCAAAGGACCCTTGTTGGCCACAATTAGGCATGTATTGGAGATGCACCCAAACCTCGTGGTTTTGATTGCTCCCACCACAGAACACTGCTCTGCTGACATCCCCAAGCTCACCTAACACGGTGGCAACAACCTCCCCAACGCAAGGAGACAACCTGGTCATGTTCCTTCACCCATGATGAAGTTCTCACTTGCTCATTTCTCGTCTTCCTCCAACAGAGACCAGCACCACAACCGGATATGAAACCACAACCGGATATGGAACCACAAATGGATATGAAACCACAACGGGATATGAAACCTCAACCAGTCCAGCCAGTAAGCATCCAACCAATCCTTCCTCCAGATGGGTCTGAGTTTGTCATTGCTTCTCTGGCCACTCCTTTTTGGGGGTGCCGGTGGTGGCTCACAGGTGGGCTTTGGGCTTGTCCATGGGAGAGCAGAGCCAGGGAAAGACACAGCCTCGTGAGCAGCCGCTGACAGCTCTGGTGGCATGAAACTCCAAGAGCCTTGCCAGTGGCTGGGCAAGGGAAGGTGCCTGTGTGTCAGAGGGTTTTCCCACTCTCTCCCTGTCTTCTCCTCTCCAAGGTGCCTCCCTGGCCCTGGTGAACGGCAGGAACCGGTGCGAGGGCCGTGTAGAGATTTACTCCTCTGGGGGCTGGGGCACCGTCTGTGATGACAGCTGGGACCTGAACGATGCCCAGGTGGTGTGCAGGCAGCTGGACTGTGGCTTTGCTGTTTCTGCAACATCCAATGCCTACTTTGGACAAGGCTCTGGCAACATCTACCTGGACGACGTGCGCTGCACTGGGAGCGAGTCCTCCCTCTTTCAGTGCCGGCACAATGGCTGGGGCATCCACAACTGTGCCCACAGTGAAGATGCTGGTGTTGTGTGCTCAGGTACCTCTGCTTGTCCTTCCTCAGTCCTGGGACACTTGGGAGAAGGGGCCCTTGCTGGCCACGCTGATGTGTGCCTTGGGGACGTGTCCCGAGCTTGTGGTTTTGATTGCTCCCACCACAGAAGAGCACTCTGATGAGACCCCCGAGCTCTCCATTGCCCCCATGACAGGGCAGCACCAACCTCCTTAGTATGGGGAGAAAAGCTGGCCCAGCTCCTTCCTCTACAAGGTCCTCACTTGCTCCTTTCTCTTCCTCCCCAACAGCTGCTCAGTCCTCAACCTCTCGTCCTCCTCCACCATGGACAACTACTACTTCAGGTATGTCTTTTCCTTTCATCTTTCCAATGTGTTCCTCTGGGGTATGTCAGTGACTACTTCATAGTTGTGTAATTTGCCCATTGCACTGGTTGGGGGACGAAGTCCAGGTTGGCACTGGGTGTTGAGATCCTACCCTCTGCCCCTCTGCTGCTCTGAGCCTGTTGCTGGGAGTGCATTGCAGACTGTGAAGATTTTCTGTTTTTTCTGTCTTTCATGTTATCTGGGCCAACCCTTCTTGCTTTTTCTCTTATGTGTATGTTCCTGAAACCTGCCAGGTGTAAAATAACACTAGAGTGCTAGAGGTCTCTGAAGAGACCATCACATTCTCAGCCTGACTGAGAAAAGCCTAACGAATTGATTCCTTGGATTATTAAAACACCTGTTTCTAGATGTTGGATACATGAAATGTTGTTTTTATCATGAATAAATCACAGAATAACCTCTTTATTTTATTTTTCTTTTCTCTCTCTCTTTCTTTTTTTTCCTTTTTTTTTTTTTTTTTTTTTTTTTTCAGCTGGGGAATATATTTGTGGTGGTTTACTCTTGAATTCCTCTGGAACACTTCAGAGTCCTCATTACCCTTTGAATTATCCAGATAACGCAGATTGTTTGTGGCAAATACAAGTAATGAATAATTTCCGCATTATGCTCACATTTGGAAGTGTTCAGTAAGTAAACCAGTTCCTCCTTGGCCTTTAAATGGATCCCAAATCTCAACTGCAACCACAGTTTCCAAGCACATTTCCCATGCTTAGAAGTGAATTGTAAATTTTACATAGGAATTTTGGGAGCACGGTATCTTAGTTGACTTTTTTCAGCACTTAAACCCAAAATTTACCAAATGCATTTTATTATATATTCCTATTTCTTCCTCAGGCTGCAAGGTGGATGTCAGAATGATTATATTGAGATCTTTGATGGGCCACCCAATACTTCTCCTCTCCTTGGAAGAATATGTTCTGGTTCCCATCCCACATATACATCATCCTCAAACTTCATGACTGTCAGATTTCACAGTGACTCCAGAAACTCCGGTCGAGGGTTTCATGCTGAGTATCAGTCCCTTCCAGCAGATCAGACAACCAGTAAGTTTCCATTATGTTTGTAATGTTTTCTTTGCTCCGAAAATTTATACTTCAATTTTATTTGCTAAATAAGTCTTTGTTAATTACTTAATAGGTAATTTAGTAATAAATATTTGTTGAAGAAACTGCACACAGATGACATTCCTACTTGGATTTCATTACTGGATATTGACCCATCACTTACAGACAACAACTTTTCCATTTATTAAAAAAAAAAAAAAGAAAAAGAAAAAAAAAAAAAAAGAAAAAAAAAAAAAAAAAAAAGGAATAAAATCTACTGCCTTTAGATATTTTCTGTGATGGCAAATCTAAATTACTTTTTCTTATCACATAATTTTTCATATATATATTTTCTATCTTGATGGGTAGGTTTGCATAAAATCATAGAAGTGTTGGTTAGAAAGGACCTTTGGAGGCTTTCTAGTCCAACTATTCAAAGCAGAGCTAGTGCCAAAACCAGGTCAGGTCCATTATGAATTTGTCTAGTTTAATCTTTAGAAACCTTCAAAGGATGAAATCTTCAAAGCCACTTCTCTGGGTGACCTGTGCAGGACTGTCCTGTAGTCACAGTGGGAAAGTTTATCTGATGAGCACTCACAGCCTCCTCAGGCACAAACAATGGTCATCACTTTTGTCTCTTTTGTCTTTGCAGCTGCCTTTCAAAAGCCTGTGCAGTACCAGTAGGTCCTATTCATCAGATATCTCTCTCTACCTAAGACCAAACCTTCCTGAGGGTCATTGCTTTTCATGTCTAGGAATCATGGTTTTCATGACTCAGAGAACCATCCTGGAGGTGGTTTCAGGATCCCCTTCCACCCAAGTAGTGTTTCTGCAAGCCAGTGTGCACATTCAGCTCTACAGCTTCCACAAGAGGTTTTGGATTCTTATTCAGAAAAAGTCCCATTTCCTAATATTTTTGAGTGAGTGGTGATACATGCTCAAGGTCTCAGCAAAAACCTATTCTAAGATATATATTTTTGAGAGGAGAGCAACTGAGGGTCAGCTGAAGTTTGTTAGAGACTATTGTTTATCCATATCTAAGTCTGAGCTGAAAAAATAAGTGGTTTGGATTAAATAAATGCTAGTGGCTATTGCATTTGTTGAAGTAGTGATGGGAAAATGTTATCAAGTACTTGAAATCACTAATAATTGATATTTTCTTCCCTAGCCCTTGTGTGTTTGCCAACCCACATGAAAGCAGTCGTAGACAGACAGTATCTCCAGTTACAGGGCTACTCAGTGTGGAACATCAGTTTGTCTGACCCTCATTGTGAGCCAACAATCACATCAACTGAGATTATATTCACCATTCCATACAATGGCTGTGGTACACGTAGACAGGTTGGTGTCAATACATTTTGGAGAGTTTTCCAAGTTTGGGCATGGAAGCTGAATAGAGATTTGGAAAATTGTTAGGAATCGTATGTTGTAGCCCACAGGTATTTAAAACACAGAAAAGAAACGTGTTTCTGAAAGCTAAAGTTTGTTAAAGTTTGTTGAAGTTTGTTAAACATTTCTACTTACTCTCCCAGGCTTTAGGTAATCCCTTTACCTATTTCAGGGTAATGTTCTTGAGAACCAAGTGTGGGAGAGAGTTATGTGCACTATCCCATCCAGGATGCTTGGGACTTTTGGAGTATGGCATGTTCATTCTGACTAATACCAGGACCTGGCACATACAGAAGTTTATAATACAGGTTGTGAACATGGCAACATGTGATAGTTTTTTCCTCATGTGTTAAACAGGGCAGCAATGAAACGATCACCTACTCCAATGTGATAAAAGTACCTGGCTCTGGTGGCACCACCAAGAGGCAAAAGGATCTTCACTTGTACATCAATTGCAAAATGCTCCAGAACACCTGGGTGCAAGCAATGTACATCGCTGATGACACCATTAATGCCAATGAAACCCAATATGGCAGATACAAAGTGAACTTGACATTCTACCATTCCTCATCTTTCCTGGTGCCAGTGCTTCACTTTCCATACTACGTTGACCTGAATCAGAATTTGTTCCTTGAAGCTTCTCTTCACAGCTCTGACCCCAACCTGGTGGTGTTTGTGGACACATGTGTGGCATCACCTGATCCTCACAATTTTGAAACACAGACCTATGACCTTATCAGAAGTGGGTAAGAAATTTCTGAAGAATTATTTAAAAACTATCTCTGTGCATAGGTCTGAAAGAGCTTCACCTATGGAAGAGGTGATTTCAGGCAAGTTGCAAATCTCACGTTGGTTGCAACTCTCAGTACAAACATACTGAAAAGAAAGATTTTTTGGGGAAAGCCTGAATAAATATATATGACAAAGAAATGCCATTCAGAAGCTGCTGTCAAGCACCGAGATTTCATTCAGGGAAGCAGTGTAGAAAGTGGGGTCTGAATTTGTCTCTGAAATAGATGCATGTAGAGGTGTAAACAGCTCTACATTTCTGCACATCAGAATTAGAGTTTTACAAATAGTTTTGTGTAGCATCATAACTGAAATTTAAAGCAGTCTGTGCAAAATGAAAGGAAACCCCTTAGGCTTTTCTTGCTATTCTAAAAACCTAAATCAATTTGCTTAATTTGATACAAAATGTGCCTTCTAATTTGAAATGGAAAAGTTGTGGACTCTCGCAAGGAATGCAAAACTGAGAGTGATCTGGTAGCACGAGTGTGTCCCACTTTGCTCAGGGAATGAAAGGCTCATGCTAATTTATTTCCTTTCTGTGCTTGGTGGGATTTGAATTTCTTTGCCTCCTGGTGCTGAGTTGGAAGTCAGGCTTGTGCCAGGCTGCTGAAGTGACCCCTTGCAAACAGGCAATCTCATTGGCAAGTGCAGAACAGGTCCTCACCTGTGCCTGAGACACAGAAGCCAGAAGAACCTCTAGTTATGTTTCAGCTAGTCATATTTACACAAATTTTAGAGAGCTATGAAATGTCTGTGTTCTTCATATTTTTCTGGTGGAAATCACTGCCCCCATTACTTATTCTTATCTCTGATTTTCTCTCCCTGCCACAAACATTCTTTTTTAAAAACGCCTTTGACATCTCTTACACCCTTACCTCCTGGTTTTATATTTAAGCTCAAAACACATTGCACACAGATAGTGTAATCATGTTTCTATTCCCAGTAGCTAATATGTTCATTTTTTATATCTTTCCAGGTGTGTTAAGGATCCTACCTACTCTTCTTACTATTCCCCACGCAAAACTGCTGCCCGGTTCTCATTTAATGCATTTTCATTCGCTACTCGATACCCGTCAGTTTACCTGCAGTGTGAGCTGGTGGTGTGCAGGTACAAAGACTACTCTTCCCGCTGCTACCAAGGCTGTGTTAGTAGGTTCAAGAGGAAAGCAGGTTCCTCTGAAGCAAAAATGAATGTTGTCATTGGACCTGTTCGGCTCCGGGAAGCTGACTCTGAGAACTCTGAAGCTGGTAAGTTCAATTCACTTAAATAAGATCAGACTCTGTGTATCACTGTGTGCTTGCATGTCAGTTGAGACATGAAATCCAGCTCTGAAATATTCCCTCGCTGCTTCATCGTAACTCTGTTATAATTCTTACAGGGATTTTTAAAAATTAATTTTTACATTATTTTATAATGTTTACAAGCTATTTCATTTCTGTTGTACTTTAGATCCATTATTTGCTCTGCACGTGTCAAATGGCAATTGCTTCAGTTCTATGGGAAGAGGGATAAGATGTAACTCATCTCTCTGCAGTATTTATATTAATTTTTCAAAGCCCTCTCTGCCTGATTGGCAATCTATTATTATTAGAAACCAATCCATAGGCTCTCTTGGAAATGTTATTTCCCACTGCCCTGTAGCTGCTGTTTCCACTATCACAAACCAGCATCTTATGATCTGAATCACTGCAAATTCTTAGTTCCTCTTTAGTTTCTTGCCATAATCTCTACTTGTTTGGCACGGCCACAGGATCATTTATGAAGAAATGTGCAATGAAGCAATCTGGTTTCTGATCAGATCCAAATTGCAAGGTTGTAATTCAAGTTTTCTTTGCCTAATCACCCTTGAGATTAACTAGCTCAGGAAAACCAATGTAAGCCTCTCTCTCTTTCTCTTTTGTGCACAGAGCTGGCCTCTGACACCCAGGTGAAAGGGGAGCCTCAGGGCTCAGTGCCTGCCTCCAGCTCCCACCTTGCTCTGGCTGTGACTGCAGTGGTGCTGGCAACTGCTCTTCTCACTGTGGCAGGATTTCTTTTGAAACGTAAACTGCAGAAACCCATCCCCTACCAGATAATGTGAGAAGCTACCCAAGACTTGCAGGTGGAAGGATTTTGCTCACCAGCCATCTTGCTTCATGATTTGGTTTTGCAATCTGTGTAGAGGGTAACTCTTACTTGACTGTTCCACCATCCAGATCTTGTTTGAAGAATGTCCTGTGTGAAGATTATGCCTGGTGTTACAGTGAACTAAACTTATAAAGGAGCCTGACTTTGAAATCCTCAAGTCCAAATAAAACTTAGGTTAAGGAAGGGTTGATTCTTCCATTCCAGCATCCAAAGAGTTGCCATCAGAGCTGGATGTTTCAGAGCATCCCAGGTGAGCTCCTGGTTGAATGTCTGTCTGAGAAAACTGATTTAAGTGACTTGAGAAAGAAGAATTGACTTATTTTGCCATAGCTGGTGTGCAGATAAAACATCTGCAGAGCAACAGGAGATACTCTGGAAAGTAGTCCAAGAAAATTATTTTTTTGCAGCAAAAATATCTCAGCAATAAACCATAAGTGAAAATGCACAGGGACTGCATGTAAGGAATTGCTCCTGTACAGCATTCTCTACTCTGGGGGGGTATGATTCTTCACAACAATACTTTTCTTTGAGAAAATGTACTCCATGTAGAAGATCTTGTTTGAAGAACAAATATAATTAAATCTGTTATATAAATGTGTAATTTAAAACAAAAAACCAAAACCAACCAAAAAAAAAAAATAGGAAAAGAAATATTTTTTAGCAATCCTTCTTTTCCCTTGCTTGCAAACATTCCACCTCTGTGCCTGAACTCCCAGCTAACACATGATTACCAGGTTGGAGAACATGACTTCTGAAAGTAAATTTGCCAAGTAAGTGCATTGTGCTCTTGTTCTTACGTATTTCTAAACCTGCAGCGGGGGCAGGAGGGGGGAATGCACGTAGGTTGCCACAAGGAAGTGTGACCTGACTCCTAACTCCACGTGAAAACAAAATAAAAACAATAATAAAGGAAGAACCTGTTTGGAAGAAGCCACTTACTACAGGTGGAAAGGTCACTGGTATTAGATTGAGAAATGCTCCTCTTCAGACTTTCTTGTTTTCTAGCCAACTGTGAAAGAGGGAAGGGTGTGATGTCCTACATGTGAGGGCAGCCAGAGACAAAGCGGTGACGTGTGGGAAAGGTGAGCTGTACTCAGGGTGACGTACTGACCTGATGGGGAGGGTGTGGACAGGTCTGACAGGAGCTGTCGTTACAGCCTCTACCATTTCTTCCCTCAAGCTGCCTTTTCCTGGTGACCCCAGGAAGGCCTTTCATCACCTCTCCATGCTGTGAGAGGGGACAATAGAAGCAGGCACTGGCATTGCCCACAGAGAGTGGAAGTGAATTTTGTTGTTCACACAGGAGAAACAAGCACTGAGGAGAGTCCTCCCCTCTTCTCTGCCCACAACCACCTTTGATGGGCAGCACAATTCAGGAGGCTGACACGTCTTACATTTAGTGTTGTTGTGTGGACCAGAGATGGTCCAAGCTTAGAGAAATCCATTAACTTGCTCAGAACAGAGAAGACCTTTCTGGACCTGGGCTTTTTGACCTCTCCAGAAGAGGAGCTTCCTTTCCCTTTGCTCTTCCCAGACCTATTGTTCTTCTACCAGGAAACCCAGTGGATTTGACTCTTCTGATCCACTTGCATCCTCACCATTCTACAAATGCAAATCCATCTGCAGTGACATCCTTCCCATGACACCTGTAACAGAGCCCAAGAGGCCATCAAGGAACCAAATAAATTAGATTAAGCTGCCTCATTGCATCTTAATGCAATTCTGACTATTGTTTCTTTGACCAGAAGTCTGTGGATACCCCCATTCCAGTGTAGATACCTCCTTATAGTCATGGATGACTAATCCTCTTTGTCCTTTCAGTGGTTTTCATTTGGACCTCACAAAAGCCAATATGTCTGCAGAAGTCTCCTAATAATAATTAGGAGAAGAGAAAGTGTTTTCAAAGCTTGGTGCAGCTTCTCTCACTGATGAGAATCACTTCAAGCTTCCACAAGAAGTCTTAGAGAATAAAAATGTATATAATGGGAAGGATGAAAACATATGTTGCATTACACTTACTTGTTTCTACTCTGCAGAGATTGTCTAATGATCTTTAGAAATACCTAGATCTTTGGAGTTCGTAGTAAAACTTAACAAAATGAAAAATTAATCAGTTCTGTTCATTTATCTGGAAAAGTTTGACATATTCGGTGTTTTTACTTGAACCACCTGGGAATCACTTTTGTGTTCCCCTACCTCTCCACCCTTTTCAGTTAATAGAAGCATAGAATCACAGAACCATTCAGGTTGGAAAAGACCCTTGGGATCACCGAGTCCAACCATCATCTCTACTCTACAAAGTTCTCCCCTAAACCGTCTCCACCAACACCACATCCAAATGACCCTTAAACACATCCAGGGATGGTGACTCAACCACCTCCCTGCTATTCCAGTGTCTGACCAGTCTTTCAGTGAATTTTTTTTCCTTATGTCCAGTCTAAACCTGCCCTGTTGCAGCTTGAAGCCCTTCCCTCTTGTTCTGTTGCTAATTACCTGTGAGAAGAGACCAGCACCAACCTCTCTGCAATGACCTTTCAGGTAGTTGTAGAGACTGATGAGGTCTCCCCTCAGCCTCCACTTTCTCAAACTAAACATTCCCAGCTCCTTCAAGTGTTCTTCATCAGACTGATTCTCTAGGCCCTTCACCAGCTTTGTTGCCCTCCTCTGTACCTGCTCCAGCACCACGAGATCTCTCTTGAATTGAGGTGCCCACACAACACAACACTCCAGATGTGGCCTCACCAGTGCTGAGTAGAGGGGGACAATCACCTCTTTACTTCTGCTGGTCACACTGTTTCAATACAAGCCAGGATGCCTTTGGCTTTCTTGGCCACCTGGGCACACTGCTGGCTCATATTCAGCCACTTGTCAGTTAGAACCCCCAGGTCCTTTTCTGCCAGACCACTTTCCAGCCACACTTCCCCAAGCCTGTAGCATTGCCTGGGATTGCTGTGGCCCAAGTGCAGGACCTGGCACTTGGCCTTGTTGAAGCCCAGACCATTAATATTAGCTCAACAATCCAATCTATCCAAGTCTCTCTGTAGACCCTCCCTGTCATCATGCAGATCAACACTCCTGCCTGGCTT